ACGCCCACTGACGGATTCTGCCAGCGATTGAGGCAGCCACGATGAGAAGGGGCTGTGCAGTCAGAAAGGTTTTACAAGGCAAATCAGCCTAGAGAGGCACCAGTTTACGCACGAGTAACTCATACCCATTACACCATCCAAATACATTGTTAAAACCTTCTAAATCCAAAATGTCTGTGTTTTCAAGAAGTAGCCATTCTTTCAACCAGCAAAAGGCTGCTGATTCATAGTAAAGTTTAAGGTCTGGCAGGGCAAATCCAGCCCTTTCCTTTGCATCTGTTAATATCTTAAATTTTATTCTGGGCTTCTTGCCCTGCCAGACAAATCTAGAAATGTCTCTCTGCCACTTCCTAAAACAGTCCATCTTGTCCACAATTTGCAATGTCTGAAATAAAAACAACATTCTTGGCAATACATTCATTTTTATCACAGCAATGCGGCCCAACAGTGAAAGCTTCAAATTTGACCAGATTTCTAAATCTCTTTTCACTTCCGTCCAACATTTTTCATAATTATCTTTAAATAAGTTCCCATTTTTGGCTGTCATATTAATCCCCAAGTATTTCACTTTCTTCACCACGGTCAATCCTGTCTCGTTCTGAAACCTATCTCTTTCAATCGGTGTTAAATTTTTCTCTAAAACCTTGGTTTTTAACTTGTTCAGTTTAAAACCTGCCACTTGACCAAATTCTTGAATTAATTCTAAAACCCTTTTAGTACTAGATTCTGGCTCCTGTAACGTCAATACTAAGTCATCTGCAAATGCTCTCGGTTTGTATTGTTTGGCTCCGACCTGTATACCTTTAACCAACCGGTCCCTTCTGATCATGTTTAGCAGGACCTCCAGGACCGATATAAAAAGCAGTGGGGAGATTGGGCACCCCTGTCGTGTCCCTTTTTCTATCTTAAATTCTTCCGTGACCACATTATTTACAATTAATTTAGCCTTTTGTTCGGAGTATATTGCACCTATACCATTTTCAAAACCTTGGCCTACCCCCATCCCATGTAGGTTCTTCTTCATAAAACTCCAAGAGATGTTGTCAAAAGCTTTCTCCGCGTCCACAAATATCAAAACTGCTTTAGTGTTTATATTCACTTCTAATTTTTCCAAAATATCAATTATGCTCCTCAAATTATCAGACAAGTGTCTTCCCGGGAGAAAGCCCGCTTGGTCTTTATGGATCTCTTCCATCAATACTTTTTTCAATCTCTTGGCCAAAATATCTGCAAAAATTTTATAATCCACATTAAGTAATGATATAGGGCGGTAGTTCTTAAGCTGAGTCTTTTCAGTCTCTGTTTTCGGTATAAGTGTAATATACGCCTCTTTCCACGACTCTGGTGCCCTTTTCCCTTCCAGTATTTCATTGCAGACTTCCTTCAAAGGTTGCAATAACCACTCTTTCGAAGATCTATAGTATCTAGAAGTCAGCCCATCCGGTCCTGGAGATTTACCCAATTGCATGTTTTGAATGGCACCTTCTACCTCCTGTTCAGATATTTTATAATTCAGCATTAATTTACTTTCTTGAGAGATTTTTTTGTAATCCATTTGTCTTCAGAAATTGGTCTATGTCCGTTTCTTTCTGTGGCCCTTGTGTGTATAATTGTTTAAAGTACTTCTGGAAACAATTTTTGATCTCAGTTGGGTTGTGTATATTCTTTCCTTCCACTTCTAGGTTTGTAATAGTATTTAATTTTTGTCTTTTTTTCATTTGCCAGGCCAGCAGTTTCCCACATTTGTTAGCTGATTGAAATGTTTTTTGTCTTATTTGTTTGATTTTCCATTCTATTTCCTGATTCATTATTTCCATATATTGTACTTGATATAATTTTATTTCTCTCAAAATCTCCTGGGACTTTGGTTTTGCTCTCAATTTCTTCTCACTTTCCTTTATCTTCTCCAAAATTTTATCTTTCTTCTCATTTTGACTTCTCTTCTTTATTGCATTCTGTTGTATCAGGAACCCTCTCATAACAGCTTTGCTTGCGTCCCAGATTACTCTTTTATCTACATTGGTGTTCATATTTATTTCAAAATAGTCTCTCAAAGTTTTTTGGGCCTTTTTATACACTTCTTCATCTCTAAATAAGGTGTCATTCATCCTCCATCTGAAGGATCCAGTTGTTATTTGTTTCATCTCCATCCTTACAGCATTATGGTCGGAGCAGGTTTTTGGGCAGATTTCTACTTTCTTTATCTTTGGTGCCATTCCTCTAGTTATCCATATTTGGTCAATTCTAGTCCATGTCATCTTGGCTTCAGAAAAGAAGGTTCCCTCTCTTCCCAAGGGGTTCTTTACTCTCCAGATGTCCACTAAGTCCATATTGTCTGTCATCTCAAAAAATGTTTTCAGTAGTCTACCATCCTTGGTAACTACCTGTCTTTGTGCCTTGTCCATATTTGTAGATACTACTCCATTCATATCCCCCATCAAGATCAAATAATCCAGTAGAGTCTCATGCAACTTTTTATAGAATTCAGATTTCCCCTCATTCGGTGCATAAATTCCTACAATCAAAAATTTCTCTCCTTGTACTTGAATTTCAATTGCCAAAAATCTTCCTTGGTCGTCTTTAAAGATAAATTTCGGTGATAGTCTCTCCTTTGCATAAATCACAACTCCTCTTTTTTTAACTTTGTCAGATGAAACAAACTCCTGTCCCAATCTTTTGTTAATCAGTAACTTCCTATGTGCCCTTGTTATATGTGTTTCTTGTAAACAAATCAAGTCCAATTGTTCTTTTTTTAATAAATGAAACACACTTTTTCTCTTTCGAGGAGAGTTCAAACCGTTACAATTCCAACTTAATAGTTGCAGAGCCATGATGGGGCTACTTCACTTTACCTCCAACTGCTCCGAGTGTCTGTTCTTGTTCTGTAGGTAGTGTCACTTTCTCTGGGCCGTGCAATCCAAAAGATAGATTTGATATGTCTAATATGCCTTTTGGCTCTTCTTCAGATTCCACTTCTTTCTGTAGATCTTCCTCGTGGTCTTTCAAGAACCTGTCTTTTTCATCCACTGATTTTATTTTTATCTTTCTTCCTTTGTATTTAAAGGACAGGCCTTGAGGAAATTCCCACCTAAAGAGAATTCTATTTCTTTTCAACAGGGCCACTAGATCTCCGTATTTGAACCTTAAGTCCAGAAGATGTTTTGGAATGTCCTTAAATATCACCACACTTGAATCGTCAATTTCCAGTCTTTTGATAGTGCAGATTCAGAATTTTATCTCTCTCTTCTTTTGTTCGAAAAGTAATCAAACAGTCTCTCACCTTGTTCTTGCTTTGTCTTCTTCCAAGTCTAAATGCATTCACTATCTTAAATTCTTCCTTCCCCAAATCCAGTTGCCAAAAGTCTATGAATTCCTGTGTAAGAAAATCAGCCAGGTTATCTTCCTCCCGTTCTGGTACAGCCCTGATTCTTAAATTTCTTTGTCTGTCTTTCAATTCAATCATAGAGAATGTCAAATCATGGTCCTCCAATTTCTTATATACTGGTGGAATCTTCTCTTGAGTAGCAGTTGCAATGTCTTTTGCTTCCTCAGCTGTCTTTCGAGTTGAGGCAGACTCCTGTAGTAATTTTTCGATAGTCTCTGTGTTGGTATTCACCTTCTGCCCCAAAATATTAATACTTGTAGTATTTAAATCAATTTTGCTTGATGCTTCCGCAACTTGTTTATTTGTCTCAGCTACCTGTTTGTTTGTCTCAGCTACCTGTTTAGTTAAACTTTCCAAAGATTCATTAATTTTTGCAAGTGCCTGTGCCAAAACTTCTTCCAACGACATAACTTTTGGTTTGACCTGTGGGAGTACGGCCCCTGATGTTCCAGATGCTCCAGATGTTGAACCCCTTCATGGCTGCGCAGTGTCTATCCGATAATGTCTGCCAGACCTAGTGGTTTTTTCCTGCAACAGCTCTATCTTCCCTTTCCCATCTGCCATAACAGTCTCATGGAAATTCAAGGTCGCTCCCACAGTTAAACAATTGTTTTGGAATAGAATGGAATTTTCCTCTAAGCCAGTTGTTATTGTAACAATGTCCAGCTTCCTCTAGGGGGACACAGTAGCAGCCAGAACTTGCAACTTTTAAGAACAAAGATAGTCTTTATAAGTCCCCCAATTCACTTTAAAAACAACAGTCTCAATGCACTTAAACAGTTACTTTCAAGCCAGGAGAAGTCCAGAAACACTGTATCCCTTTTGCAAAGTTAGCTGTCAGAAATAAGCTTTCCACTGTGCGACTTTCCTTATATCAAGGCAGTCCGTTCCAGGTTTTAAACAGTAAATTTTAGCTTCCTTTTCCCCTTCTTTTTTGCAGGTAAATTCAGCTCAGTCTTTTCCCCCTCCTCTCCTGCAATCCGGAGGGGGCACTTTCCAAATGTTAAGATTTGGGTCTTTCTTTCAAGCGACTTTCTATGTTTCCGCTTTAGAATCTCTTTGCTTTGATCTATTTACAATGAAGGGAAGGCAGACTTCCTGGTTGTACCTTCCCGCTCAGTGCCAAATTAGCCGTTTTTTCCCTTTTGAATCCAATTTAATCCTACTCACGGGTAGTTGTTTTCAAAGTCCAATTGTTCCAGGAAAAAGGCAGCGCTCTCCGGTAACAGCTTCGCGGCTTCGCTCCACGGAAGAAGCAATTGGCTCACAGCACCACGCCACCCCCGCTCCGCTCCGGAGCCCGTTGCCGAGCTCCTTTTGCAATTGGGGGGGGCGCAAACGGTGCCCGCTGAGTCCCACGGTCACAGGCTTCACCCGCCTGTGATTTTTGAAGGGTCCCCGCTGCGCCGTAGCGGTACAGACCCAATTTCCGTAGAGCCGGTTCCCTCCAAGTCAGAGGAAAGCAGCCATTACCGATAGCTCCACCCCGGAAGTCCCGAGGGCCAGCAACCTTTATCTCATTGAATGTTGCTTCCTTAGCTACCAGACTTAGGTATCAGAGAGGACCGATTTACATATTCCCCAAACTTTGTTTTTGGCTAAGGACTCCAGTAGCAGGAAAGTCCCTGGAGAGAACTGAGTTTCCAACACTGAGAGTCCCCCAGGAGTTCTGCAAATGACTTTTGGTGTTTTTAATGCAGGATTTCTGGACCGCTGTGAACCTTGATGGCGGCTTGTCATTCTGCAACAGGCAGCATGGCTGAAGGTGAGTCTTTTCCTGATACTGACCATCCTGAGGTAGCACCACAAATTTCTGGAGTGCTGCATGGTTTGCTTATGACTTCAAGATGGCAGAGACTGGCAGAGAAGGATGAGCCCAGGGAAAACACATGTAATAAACGAAAATCTGCCCTTATTCCCTTATGGGGGACGCAAGAGCCCTTACAGAGTCCTTTGTAGGTTCTCCATCGGTCAGAGAAAAGAACAGAGGCCAGCCAGAGAATATAATAATAATAATATCTTTATTGTCATTGCCCCCTTCGGGGACAACGAAATTACTTGACTGCTCCATAAAAACACTAATTAAACAATATAGTATAATACAGCAAGGGAGATTAGATGACTTTCAAAGTCCGGGCTTCCCATTCAGGGCCGAGATCGCTCTGGAGAAGAAGCTGTTCTTAAGACGGCTCGTTCTTGTCTTCATCGTCCTGTATCTCCGTCCCGACGGCAAGAGCTCGAAGAGACAGTGACCAGGATGCGATGGATCTTTTACTATGTCCAGTGCCTTCCTATGGCACCTTGTGGCATAAATCTGCTCTAAGGTGGAGAGTGGGCAGCCAACAATGCTCTCTGCTGCCTTAACAACCCTGCACAACCCCATCCTGTCCTGGGTAGTACAGCTTCCGTACCACACACATAAGCCATAAGTAAGCACGCTCTGAATGGCACAGTGATAGAAGGCAAGCAGCAGTTTCTGCGGAAGATGGTTTTTCCTCAGTATTCTCAAAAAGTACAGTCTCTGCTGCGCCTTCTTCACAAGCCCCCTTGTGTTGACACTCCAGGACAGATCCTCTTGTAATTCAATGCCCAAAAATCTGAACGTTGTTACCCTCTCCACACAGACCCCATCAATCAAAAGTGGCTGGACGTTGCTCTTCTGTCTCCTGAAGTCCACCACAAGCTCCTTTGTCTTCCTTGTATTTATGAGCAAGTTGTTAGCTCTGCACCACTCTGTCAGCCGCTCCACCTCATCTCTATAATCCGTTTCACCCTCCCTTTCACGGATGAGCCCAATCACAGTTGTGTCATCTGCAAATTTAACAACCCTGTTATTAGGGTGAGAAGCAAAGCAGCTCGTAAGCCTGATCTTTACTGAACTGTTGCAACAGGGCACTCCCCTCTCACACACAGGAAAGGAGGAGGAACACAGAACAAAGGTGTTCCCGCCCCTATATAGACATTTTAAAATTGCCCGCCTTGGAGTCCAAGACCACCCCCAGATACAGCATACCTACATCAAAGAAAGGGTGGTCTACAACAGAAATCTGAGTGCGTTGTTTATCTCCTGTCTGGCAGGTTACCTGTTAATGCTCACTTGATTGGATACCCTGGGGAGCCTGGCCAGTCTTTTGTAATGAAACATTTGTAAGACTTTGTGTGTGTGTGTGTGTGTGTGTGTGTGTGTTAGTCTCAGGAACTTTGCTGAAATGGTATTTTTTATCTCTTATTTAGCCAGAGCAGACGAAGAATTGAGAATTCTGCTCATTGGCAAAACCGGATCCGGGAAGAGCGCAACAGGAAACACCATCCTGGGGGCTGAGAAATTTAAAAGCGCATATGGACTTGCTTCAACAACTCAGAAATGCGAATTTGAAACAGCCCGTGTTGATGGCAGGACAATTGTTGTTGTTGACACACCTGGGTTCTTTGATACAAAAATTAAGAAACGCTTCACGCAAAATGAGCTTAAGGAATGCATTGACATGGTTTCTCCTGGACCTCACACCATCCTCATCGTGATAAAAGCAGGGAAGGTCACAAAGGGGGACCAGGAAGTATTTTGGGAAGTGAAACGCCTCTTCAAGAATGAAGGAAAGAACTATCTGATTCTTTTATTCACCTATAAAGATGAGTTAGATAAGAATCATTTAACTATAAATGAGTTCATACGAGGCGCTGAGGGGAACCTGAAGGATCTGATTGAGATGTCCGAAAGACGATTGATTGCTTTTAACAATGTGGCTGAAGAAGAAGAAAAGCAGACTCAGGTAAAGAAGCTCATTGGGATGATTGATGGCTTGGTGGCACTCAATGGCAGAACACCACTGTACACCGAAGAACAATTCAAAAAGGACATGTCTTGGTGGAGTTGGTTTACGTCTTGCTGGAGATAAGACTTAAGTTATTGTAAGTTTAAGTTAAGTCTGCTGCAAGTGGATTTCTTATGGACAGGGCCAATCCTGAATGTATTGGATTTGTGACCATTCTGCTCATTTGCCTTCAGTAGCTGTAAAGCTCTGCTGGATGAAATATTCATTGTCTCTGGTCTGTTTTTTTTTGGGGGGGGGAATCCTGCAACGTGTTTGAGTTTTTACTCTCCTAACTATACACTGGAGTTCTGCTGTGGATCAATACTGAGTAGAATTCCATGACAATAACTTCTATTTGTGTTGATACATTAAATGATTTATAAAACTACAACTGAGGAACTCAAACTATATCCTTGTTCTTGCTGTGTGTGGCAATTATTCTGTCCCTGGTGTTTCTTCCTGTCCTCATAAGATGTTATGTCTTTCTTTCCCTGGTTGTTGCTGTTCTCCATCATATCAGATTGTTGTTTCTGAAATTTCTCCATCGCTCCATCCCGTGCTTCGTTGTTTTGCAACTTTTAACAACAACTGAAAAATCACTCTGTCCCAATAAATGACCTGTTTTCACCATTGTGCATTTATTTGGAATGTAAATGTTTCATTTCTCCTGTTCCATTTAATTTTCCCATAAATCTTTTCATTAGGCTTTTCAGTATTGATATACTGAAGCAAAAGCAAAACCAAATGGTGGAAATAGTCAAATAAAAATGAGATAAAAAATACTACCCCAGCCACTTCACTTGTGGTTCCTGGGTTTAATAGATTATTCAGTTTAAAGAAGTGATATTAATCTTATTTCTTTTTCTTTTTAAAAATTCTGACAACATAATACAATGTCTTGCAAACACTGAGCAAACATCCCACTCTAGCCCAGAAGGCAGAGTTTAGGAAATGAATAAAAAATAACTCCCCAATAACACAGGTGAGTTCCTACCACAGACAACCGTTTGCACAGAAGGCAAGACACAATTTATGCTAACCCTGGCTGTTTTTTAAAGTCAATGAAGTCTTGCTTTCATTTTTAGCTGTGCAAATAATAAAGTTGTACAGATCGGTTGCAAAGAGTCTTTATGCTCCAAACCTTCTGCCAATTTTATTTTGTTAGCCCCTCCCCCCACAAGTGTGATTTGTCATACTTCATTGTACCACAAAGGCTCACGCCTTTCCTTGAGTTTGTATACATATTTAAGGCATACTCCACAAGTGTCCTGGGAAAACTGGGACATCCTGTTTTTCTCTGGTGAGGGAACAGCGGCCATTTTGGTTGTTGTGATCTCACACAATTTCACAGCACAATTCCCCTCCCCCAATAAAGTGCTTTTTTCAGGGCTGCGATCTTGCCTTAAAATGCACATTTTGGGGTGCCGTGCCCCAAAAAGTGCTTTAATGGGGGGGCACAGTGTGAAATCACGCGAGATCACAGCGACCAAAATAGCCAACATGCTCTCTCGATAAAAAACAGGAAGATGGCATCCCAGATTTTGGCTTTGAAGTGTTGGAGGGTATCCTTAAGATACATATGTAAGAGGCTTCTTGTCTGTAATTATATTTTGGGAATAATTCATATTCTTGTGTAGCTGCATTGTTTTATACTTTCTGGATGTCCTATGATCATATTACAAATCAAGCACAGCTAGTTGCTGCCCCTTTTCCTTTTCCAAGTATTTCTTTTCTGATCTCGCAGGGGGACCCCAAGGGCCTCAAAAGACAGCTCTATCGCTTTAAGAAACTGCTGAGAAAGCCTTTACTCTCAGCGCAAGAACACAAGTCGCTATACACGCAGGTTCACAGCACACGCAATACAAAGCACAATAGCTGTTGCAACAAAAAAGTGTTACTCATTTATACTGCACTTTTCAGACAATACTTTTATAAGATAAGTGTTTAGGGACGTTTTTAATGTCTGATGCTGTATTGTTTTTAATATTCAGTTGGAAGCCAGCCAGATGGGCATTGTATAAATAATAACTTCTTCTTCTTCTTCTTCTTCTTCTTCTTCTTCTTCTTCTTCTTCTTCTTCGAAGGCCACGCAGGCACAGTAAATTAAAGCTATACTTATGCTGGAATCGCAGGCACGCTAAAGTGAAATGTATCTAAATGAGTTTTGGTTAACAACAGCTAGTTTGCTTCCTTGAATGAGGTAATGAGAAATCTTTCTATGCATGTGATTCCAGGAAATTTTAATGCTTTGTGTAAGAAACCTATAGGTAACCACCCTACCCCCCCCCCGGTGTTTGGGGGGCGGGGTTCAGTCTTTGTGGAAGTGATCCTGCTGAACCTACTGCTTGGAAAGTAATAAAATCGTTGGACTCTGATCTCCTCCTGGCTCCTGAGTTTTATTGGCAAGACCCAGGAACTACAGGCTGTTTGCCTGCAACAATGTGAACAAATTTTTCTTCTGAAAGTCTAGCCCAGAGTAAAAAGTTTCAGAACCACTGCAATAGCCCTGCTTCTATCTTCCTGACAGTACGTTTCCGAGCACAATTCAAAGTGTTGGTGCTGACCTTGAAAGCCCTAAACAGCCTCAGCCCAGTTTAGCTGAAGGAGCATCTCCACCCCCATCGTTCCCCCGAATATAGAATGAGATAAGCATTATAGGGTTGCCATATGTCCTCCTTTTCCAGGACATGTCCTCTTTTTCATGGGTAGAGTCATAGCAATCCATAGTTAAAAGTAGAAGTTGGCAAATGAGTCCCAGCAAAATACAACGTATTAGTGCTGTCTTTTAAAGCCCTAAACGGCCTCAGTCCTGTATACCTGAAGGAGCGTCTCCACGCCCATCGTTCAGCCTGGACACTGAGGTCCAGCTCCGAGGGCCTTCTGGCAGTTCCCTCCCTGCGAGAAGCCAGGTTACAGGAAACCAGGCAGAGGGCCTTCTCGGTGGTGGCGCCCGCCCTGTGGAATGCCCTCCCATCAGATGTCAAGGAAATAAGCAACTATCTGACTTTTAGAAGATATCTGAAGGCAGCCCTGTTTAGGGAAGTTTTAATATTTGATGTTTTAATGTATTTTTAATCTTTTGTTGGAAGTCGCCCAGAGTGGCTGGGGAAAGCCAGCCATATGGGCAGGATATAAATAAATGATGATGATGATGACGACAGTCCTTGCTTGCTCTGGTCCCCTCACCCAAACCTTTAGCAATCTGGGTCTGTCTCAGCTTGACTTGACCAAAGCCTATTGACCATGGTATGTCTGCCTACAGACTGGCTGTGTTTCATTTTGCTTTGGAAAGTGGAAATTTATTATTTCCACCTTTCAATGGAAGCTGGATCAAACGGCCACCAACCTTTCTGGATCAGGGGTATATTTTGAATTTGGAGAGAGTGTGGTGGGAGGCAGTAGTCATAAAATTGCTGGCAGGAGTGTGTGGCAGAGCACAATGTGGCTGCCATGGGGAGGTAAAGGTAAAGGACCCCTGGACAGTTAGTTCCAAAGGCGACTATGGGGTTGCGGCGCTCATCTGACTTTCAGGCCAAGGGAGCCAGCGTTTGTCCACAAACAGCTTTTCCTGAACATGTGGCCAGCAGGACTGAACCACTTCTGTTTCAACGGGACACCATGACAGAAACCAGAGTGCACGGAAACGCTGTTTACCTTCCCGCCGCAGTGGTACCTATTTATCTACTTGCACTGGTGTGCTTTCAAACTGCTAGGTTGGCAGGAGCTGGGACAGAGCAATGGGAGCTCACTCCGTCACTGGGATTTGAACCGCCGACCTTCCGATCGGCAAGCCCAAGAGGCTCAGTGATTTAGACCACAGCGCCACCCGCGTCCCATGCCATGGGGAGGGCATGTCATAACACAAAGTTAGAGAGCAGCGTCTAGTCATTGCTGCTTCAGCCTCTCTCTCCCCAACCCCACCTGACTGTGGACAGACAGATTTCAAAGGCTTAATAACCCCCTTTCCCCAAACACCGATCCTAAACCAAAGCCTAGACTGCCATCCTGCACCCACTTCCTGGGAATAAGCCCCAGGAAACCAAAAGAGGCCTGTTTCTAAGCCAGACACATTTACCGCCCTACAGCCAATTAAATGTACATTGAATTCCTAATGAGTGCCTGGACACCAGGTCCTGCGCAGCGAGAGACATGCTTGAACCTCTTCCCAAAGTTCTGAAATTTTACCATTTGGGATGTGGGAATTATTTAAAACCGGGGTCCCCAAACTAAGACCCGCGGGACTGATAAGGCCAGAGGGACTCGTCTATCAGGCCCACAGCAACCCCCACTGCTGCCGCCTGCTCTTACTGGCACTGTGCTGCACGGCTGCCCACTTCCGAGTCAGAGGAGCACCGGAAATAGCTTGTGCGCATGCGCAAGTGTTATTTCCGGTGCACATCCGGGTCGGAGGAGCCCTGTGTACATCCACACAAACTATTTCCAGTGCTCCTTCAACCCGGATGTGCGCCGAAAATAGCGTGTGTGCACGCATACGGGCACGCACTCCCCAGCCCTCCGACCCGCCGTGCGATCAGTGCTGGAGACACTGGCCCAAGGCGCTGTAAGTTTGCTGACCCCTGATTTAACACCCATCTCCAGAAAACAACTCTTTTTTATTTG